GGGCAGAGCACCCACCTCCTTCCACTCGTTGACGCAGAAGATGCGGTAGGAGTCGTTGCCGTACTTGCCGATGCCGTGCAGCTCGATGGGGTACCGCCAGGGCTTGCTCAGGTACTCCCCTGCAAGGCACGGCGCGGCCGCAGCGCTTAGGCCCTGCCCCGCGGCCGCTCGGACAGCACGCGGGCTGCAGCTGCCTCCTGTGGCGAATCCCCACGGGGTGCATCCTAAAGCACCTTTTACACACGTCACCGAGGGCGAGTTTTAATTACACCTCTCTCCTCAGAGCTCACAGCAAAATACTTTTATTCTAAGTATAGAAAATACCAGAACCATAGAGAAAAAATCAGGCTGGAAGGACCTTCTGGAGGTCACCTTATGCAAAACAGAGCAGAGCCACCTGATCAGAATCCCCACGGGGTGCATCCTAAAGCACCTTTTACACACGTCACCGAGGGCGAGTTTTAATTACACCTCTCTCCTCAGAGCTCACAGCAAAATACTTTTATTCTAAGTATAGAAAATACCAGAACCATAGAGAAAAAATCAGGCTGGAAGGACCTTCTGGAGGTCACCTTATGCAAAACAGAGCAGAGCCACCTGATCACAGTGCTGCAGACACAAAATCAGGCTCACGGGTGGTCAAATCTTCTTCCACCCAAAGCAGCCTCCTGGACCATGGTCTCTCACAGAGCTCTCTGTTTGTGGTGTTTCATTCTCTGCAGCTTTGCAGACATAAGTCCCAACACATCCCAAAGCTGCATAAAATGAGCCACCAGCAACACCCACCCTGCCGAGGGGATGGCACAGGGCCCTGTCTGACAGTAACGCTGCTTGCCCTGCCACGGTCACGAGACCCTCCCCCAGACCCCAGACACACCCACCTGAGAACCTGATGATGGTTTTCGCTCTGAGTTCGTAGAGGCCGAGAGGTTTGAGCAGCTCTGACATTTCCTTCCAGTCTGCACTCCTGGCTACTTCTGGAGAAGGATACTTCTTCAGGAACTCCCAGAGCACAGGGATCGCCATTTTACCTGGCAAGAGAAACCATGACCCACTGGCTGCATGGGTAACTCTCTTTTTTATCTCTGCATCCTTTTTGAAATTAGCTTTCTCAGAGGCAAGAGCTACAAATTAAAAATTCTTTCACTGACACAAGTTAACATACATTTATTTTTTCACTCATGCCATTAAAAAGGGCAGGTGTTCTGACCCTGTAACACCACCCCAGTGTCTGTACAACACGAAATTGTGTTACTCTATTTACCTGAAGTTTTATTGAGAAATATGGTTGCAATGAGGAGTTTCCACGGATCATGGAAAAGTGTCTCTTGGACCAGGTTAAAAGGAGAGCGTGGAGGAGTCCATTTTCTGCGGGCCTTCCTTCGAGGCGGGCTCAGAGCTGAACACAGAGGCAAGACAGGAAAATTTATTGGGCAGTGAAGGATGGATTTACCCATGTGAATGAAAATCTATATAAAAAAAGCCTTTTGAAGCAGGTTCATCTCGTGGGGCACTGTATGTGGATGAAGCCATGGCATTTCCCACACAAGGCTGCAGGGGACTGTGTGTCCCCTGCCAGGGGCTGCAGGAGGCAGCAGGCCCCACCTGGCACAACCCACGCACCACCAGCCTGCAGCCAGAGTCTCCAGAATGTCACTTGATCCCAAGCCACCCTGTTCCTCCTCCCTGGCCCCGAAACCAGGCCCATTCCCCTAAAGAGTACATAGATACACACATACCTTCTCTACTGTATTTGCTTCCAAAATATGGACTTGTTCTCCTCCTATCCACTTGTGTTCGTGAGGCAGACTCTTCTGTAAAGAAATAACACCTGAGCATTAAAAAGAAAAACCACCAACCTCCCCAGTATTTTGCTGTCGTATTTCACATCTCCCATTTATGTTCTGATGGAAACACAAGGATTTCTTGTAGGCACATGAACATAAATGCACTTTAGATTCACTCCAGTACTTCAACTCTGAAAGATCTTCAGCAGACAAACTGTTCCTTTGCCAGTCTGAGGAAAGAGGCTCAAACTACAACCAGGATCAAATGTTGCCCACACACTCTAGCACGTGAAACAAGCTGGAACTGGTCTTTTCAGTGAATCAAACTGACCTACTGGGCAACAGCCTTCAAAAAGTTCATGCAGTGAAAGTAATGAGTGTTCCTGCACTATGCCGCATGGCCACAGGGGCTGGTGGAGTGACTCCCAGCTGGGAACGACCCTGCACCGAGCTGGATGCGGCTGGATGCAGAGACGAGGCAGCTGCAGATGTCAGAGCAGCTTGGCCCAACAGGGCATGCCTCGCTCGTGCAGGAGGAGCCCTGGCAGAA